CTTTTAGCAACCTTAAGAGAGACACCAATGAGTTATGCTGGATTTATTTAGCAGACAGCTAAAAAAAAAAAAAGAAGATATTACATTTTAGAAACTTGAATTTTCTATACTGCCCAGCAATGTGTAGCATATAAATGTGTATATAGTATATACACACACACACATATATATACATATATATACATATATATACTATATGTATAGTACATATAGTATATATACACTATAGTATACATATAGTATACATATATGTATAGTATACATATAGTATACATATAGTATATATACTATATATAGTATAGTACACGTGTAATTATAGCATTTTCTTATTAGAAACTTCCATTATACTCCACAATATTATTTTAATTCTAACCCCTTACTTTTATATGATAGTGATGTTCTGAAAAAAAAATCCACTTTTGACTGAAGTTTTCCTTTTGTTTTGTTCTAATCCAAAGATAATTTAAAATGTCTGAGCAAAATCTCTTCACTCATGTTTGACTCACATGAAAATATTTAATATATTGTTAAGAGTTTTGTGCTACACAACTTCAAAAGTGTAAACTGGCCTACACCTGCATTGGCTTGGGACCATTTTGGAAATAAATTACAAAAAAATTAAATGGAAGGGGTGTCTACAGAAGTACTCTGTGCACATTTTATAGTGCTGTAATTTAAAGCACTTTTTATAGCACTATACAGTTACAGCACTCTTAAACATGACAGAAGTTCACTGTTTGGTGGGGGAGGCTCCCTCCCTGCATTTTCCAAGGTAGGAGGCAGGAGGCACTCCACAGCTGCCCGGGACTTCTCCACTGGTCAGAAATTTGACCCATTTTTAAAGTGCTATAAAGCCATGCACTTCTGTTAAGTCATGGCAATAAAGCGTTTTAAAGGGCAAAAAAGCAACTTCTGTACACACCCAAGGGTATTAAAAATTAGAATATCTATTTTGCAACTGTGTGACATGGCATTTCCATTTTGTTTTGATTTACAGTAATTGTTTATAGGACTGCAAGAAAACAAGAAAATGCATAACACTGACATTGGTTCTGCAGCTCTTGCTTTCTATAATGCCAGTTGCTACTGTGATTCAGGAAAGCACTTTGTTGTGTACCAATATCCACCCTTATTACAGTCATCCTTTCCTGCATGGATACACTTTTAGGTATATCCTCCACCAGCTTTGCAACTTTGGATGCAGACAGTGATATCACTGGGGAGACTGAAACAAAAAGCTCTTTTTATTTATTTTTTTTCTTAAACAGGAAAATTCCTTTAACATTGTTGCCTATCCCCTTTTTTATGTGATGTGATGGGAAGGAAGAAGTGTCCAAGAAATGAATCCGTTATTACTTTGCCATCTAAAATTGTATCTCATAAACCCATTTCAATGTATGGTTCCATAAACATTTTTTTAAATATTTTGTTAGATTCCTTTTAATCACAAGGGGTAAAAACATTCAAAAATGTAAAATGTATGCTTTTTTTTCATTTGGATATAATGATAGTTAAACACTTTTGAAAATCTTACTCAGTATTAACTCTAAAAATTAGAATATCAATTAATGAATATAAAATAAAAAATCAGGGGAGAAGACTGTTTAGAAGCTATTAGTAACTTGAAATCCAAATTAAACTATTAAACTTCCAAAAACTTTTATGTTTCCTTAAAAAGGTTCACATTAAATTGTATTCAGTAGAGGACATAGGATTCTACTCATGTAAGAAATTAAATTCAAATTCTATCAGTATCTGTTAAAAGCAGATTGGAAATAACATAGCATATTAACATAATGCAGATCTGTAGTTCTTATGCTGTTCTACAAAACCAACCATTCAGTGATGCGGTCTATTTCCCTAGTGTAGCATCCTTGTTGGGTAAAATCATTAATCACTACAAGAATCCCTAAGCTAAAACAACCAAACAGTGATGAAATCAGCAGACAAGGAAGGAGCCATTGTCATCCCAAACTGCAAAAATTAGATCAACAGACAACTCTCTTACACCAAGTATTGTAAGAAACTAAAAAAGGCCTTTACACCAGTATTCATAGGCGACTGGTAGGAGGTGCACGGGGGTACACATACCCCCCTGAGGGGGCCAGTGTGCCCCCTGATGGCCAACACTGATGCTGTCAGTAGGGCTGGTTCAGGAGGCACCAGTCACTCATGCCAGTATTCACCCTTGAACTCAAAGATACCAAAATACTCTCTCCATCATTTCAAAGAAAAAAATCTATACAAACCAATGTCTTCTCTACCCCCCATTGAAACATTGTACATGCCTCCTAAAATATACAAACAAGAAAACCTTGAAAGATTCATTATATCCAACTGCAGTATCTATGCTGAAGAACATTCAGCGTTAATAGCAACCATCATCTCATCCACTTATCACTCAAAGAAGTTTTCTACAAAACATAACAGGATTTCTCAACAAAATCCACAACATAATCTACCTTCCTGAGAAGACTGTATTTGCCACCAGGGATCCTGGTTTTCTCTGATTGAAAAAAAAAATCCCCAAGTTTTAGTTTTAAAAAACTAACCCAAAATCCACATTTTTAATATATTAGTGGTGTTTCATTTTGATCACAGAAAAATGTAGATTTTGGGTTACCTTTTTTATTCCAAAAACTTGTGATTTTTTTTTTTAATCAGAGCAAACCAGGATCCCTGGACATCGTTACTAACACCCACTAGCTGGAAAACATTAAAGCCTTACTGAACCATGGGCAACTCAGATTTCAAGCCATAGTGAACTGCGTAACTCATCTGTTTTACCTCACCCAAAAGAATTTTACCTTTAACAGCTGGCTCTGCAAAACCATGAGCACAAGGATGACCTCTTCTTATTTTGCCAAACTCTTCATGAGCCACCTTGAACCAGATTTGAAAGATGCACTGCTAAATCTGCCCTAAATCAACTGTATTTACTTGAATCCAGAATAAGATTTTTTCCACTCAAAATCAGCTTGGGGGTGAGGGAAGCTTCATCTTGGATGTGAGTACCATCCTGGGGTGGGAGTGGGTAAGTTCCAGCTTTGACCTCAGGCTAAGGGCTGAGGCTGGAGCTGAGCCACCTTCTGCCTTGGGCCAGAATGGCTCGTTTGGCAGGGGAGGGGACATGTGGCCAGCTGGAACATGGTGAAAAGCCTGCCCCCTACTTGCCTCCCCCCATGCTTGTGCCTGCCCCCTAACTTCTTGCTCCCCTTCCCCTAGTTACCACTTCCCCCCTTACCTTCTCTGGCTCCTGCCCTTCCAGCTCCAACCCAGCTTTGCTGGGATCTGCTGTCCCTTCTCCCTGGCTGGGCTGGGCCAGGCTGGGGCCAGCATGTATTACATTGATTTATATATGGTATTTCCTAATTGGGACCATGCTACTGCCAACTGCCCTGGAAGAGTAGAGGTGCAGCAGAAGGCAAGGGTTGGAGGAGGCAGGAGGCACAGGGGAGCAGGACATGGAGGAGATGGGCTGAATGGGGGAGCAGGGGGTGGGGGAAGCAGAGAGTGGAGGGGCAAGCACAGGCATGAGGTGCAAAGGGTAGGGGGCGGGCACAGGCGCAGAGAGGCAGGCAGCAGCAGGGCATGTGGCAGGGGCCAGGCAGCGTGGAGGGCCAGCACCTCACCAGTCTAAAAACTGCCTTTGCCTACCAAGGATCATCCAGCAAAGAAATAGGCTGCATCATTGAATAAACCATGTGAATGTAACACATTTACTATATATTACAAAAAAAACAACCCAAACCAACTGCAAATTTCAGAAGTCAGTTTAAATATAGCAACTCTTCTTTAGTTTCTAACCACTTCCACTAATCATTGCTCTTTGTTAGACAGGTTTGTTTCTCACTTCCCTTTTTCAGTGACCACACTCTATCCTAGAATGTGGTTAAACAAAAGTAATTGTTTTAACTAATATTTAACTCAAACTGTATCTCCTGCTTTCTCAGATTTGAAAAAAGCTATTCTGCACCTAGCGTCTTATTTAACATCTCTCCTTACATAAATAATTCTCTTCGAGTCTCTTTTGGTAACATAGGTGTAATTTTGTCTCTCACTAAATTGAGCTGTCAGTCCTGAGCTTCTCCTGCATAAAGTCACAGGAGACCTGGTTTAGGATACCACCTGGAATGATTTTTTTGTAGTTTACACCTGTTGCTTTCACCTTAAGGTTCTGCAACATTCTTTTTCTCTTCCATTTCTTGTTCTGGCTTCCTCTCCTTCTAGGAACCATTCTCATTGTCCTTCCAGGTAGAAGATAGCATCCTTGAGATTAATTGGTGTCTTTTTAACTGACTCAAGAGAGGCATGAGTTTTTGTAGGCAACAACATATTTTGTCAGCAGCTTTCCAGAAAATGTCTGCCCAACTCTTACAGAACTATTTACAAAACATAAATGAAGGTCTTATAACAAGTCTGTTTTTTGTTATCAGAAAGATAGAAATGACCTTTTTAGCATAGAAGAACAACCTAGTGTATCCACTTAATTTTTTCCAAGAAAACACCAGAATCTTTTTCTTACAAACAGTTCAGACTAAACCCAACTAAAAGCACTGGTAATACTCATTTCACAGTTTTAATATGTTTTCAGCACTGTTCCTCAAATGTGGTTAAAAGTCTGTTCAATGATTTAATGAAACCAAAGTTTAAGGTTAAAAACAGTACATGAAACAATTCAGTAGGACCTGTATTTGGCGGCAGGAAATTCACATACAATAAATCACAGAGCACAAAAGTTTTAAAGTCCATCAGAGATCCCAATGCCTCAGCATTTTCATCAATGGACCCTGCAACCTAGCAAAGAAAAGATGAGATAATACTTGAAAACCTGAAAATGTTGCTTTGTGTCATGTCTCCTTTATTTTGACTAAATTTTTTAACACCAATTTTTTTGTTCTGGTCACCTGAGTTGGTTTTAATAGGGTTATTTATATAATGAATGCTTTAGTATCAGGACTATGAATTAAAAACCATTAGACAAAAAAACAAATACTTACCCAACAGCAGGATTCACAGTTCTAATGTATTCATAACACCTTCCAATTATAATGCTGTCCAAGTTAGGTGTTGTACCTTCACCTTTCCATTTCTTCCCATCTACTCCTGAAAAGTCCTTACTGAAAAGAAGAACTAACAGAAGCAAGAAAAGGGTGTTCATTCTGAATCCTGGAGAACAGAAGTCCTAAAAAAAGATAAATATTGAAGTCCAAATTTGAAGGGTTAGGTTGCAACAAAGTTTTTAACACTTGTGATTATCTCTGTAACAAGTATCTTAGTACTTAAATCATTTTAAGCAGTCAGAAAAAATACATTCTGAAGTGTTTCTAGTTCCTGGAGTAGAAAAAGAATACATCACTTCCTTGAAAGATAAATGTTTTCAACGTTACGAAGACACAAACTGGAAATTCTAATAGTGCCCTCTGGTGATGACTGATTAGTATTACAATCCTGCTCAATAGAGAAGAGAAAAAGAAAACTTGTCACATGTTATTATCAGGGATCCTGGTTTTCTCTGTTTAAAAATCACAAATTCTCTGATTTAAAAAAAAACAACAACATTTCTCTGATTAAAACCCCCAAATCCCTCATTCCCCACCCATAGCCCCCTGGCCCTGCTGGTGCCCCTACTCACAACCCACAGTCTGCCCCCCACCCCTGCTGGTGCCCCTCACTCCCCACCCCACAACTGCCAGGGCTATGATGGGGTCAGGGACCTGGGTCTGCAGCCCCTTACGCCCCCAACAGCATCCTGGCTGGCTGCTGCCCTGGCTGCATGCATGTGGGAGACTGGGCTGCTGTGGCAGAGTAGAGTACGGGGCCCAGCTCCCCTTTCCCTATGGGTAGCATGGCCAGTATGGAGCCCACGGTTGGGAGTGGATGCAGGCTACCTGCTGCGAGCTCAGGCTCCCCGCCCTGCTGCCCTTCCCCAAGTTCCTCTGTGGCGCAGCAGGTGATACCCAGTGCAGCAGGGCAGAGCAGGGTGGGAAGCTCAATGCCACTGCTGTGAGCCAAGTGCCACCACGGTGAGGTGCCCCCTGTCTGCCTAGCAACAATGGGGGTGGTGGCATGGGCTTCTGCATCCTGCTGCTGCTGGGTGGGCAGGGGGCACCTTGCCATAGTAGCATGGGGCTTGTAGTGGTGGCACTGAGCTTCCCTGCCTGGCCCCGCTCTAACCTGCCATTCCAGGTCTCACCCGCTGGGCCATGGAGGCCCTGAGGGGAGGGCAGCAGGGCGAGGAGCACTGAGGCTGCAGCAGGCAGTCTGCTCCTGCCCTACACACAAATCTGTGGGGCACATCCCCTCCATGCCCTCCCTGGGAGTGCACACAGTGGTGGGGAGCCAGCCCTACCCCAGCCTGTAGACAAGCTGCCTATAGCTCTGTCCTGCTCCCTGGCCCCAGGCCCCAAACACAGCCCAGACTGGGCAGCAGCTGCAGCCCCAGCCCTGCCCAGCACTCTTCTTTCCTTACTATGGGGGCCTCAATACCCACCTCCCTGTCAGACTTACCTGTGGGAGTTGTTCTCCAGGATGCCTGGCAGCCATGTGCATGTGTACATGCACACATGAATATGGCACCCCCTGACTGACCGCCCTCCTCCTGCTCCTCCCAACCCCTTGCAGGCTGGAACTCTGCCACCCTGCAAGGAGACACCTACTGTTTCCAATGTTTTCCTTCAAAGGAGAAAATATGGGCTTTACCGTGTTTTGCCATGGTGAATGGAAAACCCAGATCCCCAGCTATAATTTATTAGATTTATTTGCCACTTTTATCAAAAAAGGCACGGGGTAGCTTAAAATAAAAGACAAAAAATTATAGAAATAGAATAAAATATTAAAATAAGAAGGTACAACAAAACAACCCCTCCCCCCCCCAAAAAACGTCCAAATACAAATGCATTGCACCCCACCCTTCTACCTCCTGCCTGATCATTTCCCCCCCTTGCTCAAACTTGCCTTGCTTTCCAAACCTGTGCTCAATTCCTCTAAAATGAAAAAACCCACCTCATATTTCTTCTCATCCCTACCCACTGCCCTACCCTAGCACCGCTCACTGGCCGCTATCTTTTCTGCTATTTTGGTCGCCATCTTTGGAACTGGAAGTCCTGTCCCTAACCCCTGACCTTTGCCACTAAAAACCCTGCCGCTTCCTCTGCAAGTTCTCCATTTTGGGGTGTTTCTGGCCCTGAAACAGGAAGTCCTGCCCATCACATGCCCTTATGACATCAGAAGGTTCGCCCCTGACTGCCATGTTTGTAGTCATTTTGGCCATCATGTTTTGTTCCAGAACACCCTGTTCCCATCACATGCCCTTATGACATCAGAAGGCCCAACCCCCTGGTCACCATATTGGTGACCATCTTGGCCCCCATGTTACGGCCCTGAACACTGTGTTCCCATCACATGGTCTGTGATGCCATAAGGCCCAACCCCTCATCACAAGGTCTGCTCCTTGACTGGGAAACACCTCCCCACAAGAACGGTGCCAAACCAATTGGGGTAGGTATAGGGGCTGGCACCTAGGCTGGAAGTCCCTGGCCCACCTCTTTTCTAAAGACTGTTGGGAAACCCTCTGTCTCAGGGCACTAAGGTGTCTGCTCCTATAAGAGCAGAAACTGCCTGGGGAGAGGGTCCTAAGAGCCAGGCACACAGGTGCAGGTTACTGTGGCAACAGGCCAATGAGTAAATTAGCCTGCACTTGCACCCAATCAGCTGACCGAGAGAGGCAGGGCCCTGGGCAAATATAAAGCCCAGGGCTGGGAGTAGAAGGGGGAGTTCTCTGCCAGCAGCTGAGGGGAAAGGAGTGCTTGGAGAAGAAGCTCACGAGAGAGTCCTGGTGGCTTGTTCTACTCTGGGTAGAATTAAGGGGTTCCAAGAGCTCACCCAAGACTCTGGCTTATAAGGCACTTAGTGCTGGGAGAAGCTTGATGTTTTAAAGGGACAAAGCACACCCGGAACCGCTTATATTATGTTATAGCCCAGGGGATCAGAGTTTAGTTGCTGTTTTGACCGGTGGATTGGACTGAGGCTATTTGGAGGGCCCACGACAGTGTGGGGACCCCGGCGCCAGAGAAGGGCACAGAGACAGGGCTGCGAAGAGTCCAGTGAGGACCAGGGGCTGAGTTATAGCAAGACCCAGGAGAGACCATATCAATACCATCTGCGAGGCTTGGGGCGTCGTAAAGGGACGGTTTGGAGCCACGCATCTAGTCCATTAGGCTGAGGGTGTTCTGTGAATCATCCATTTTGAAGCAGGACGCCAAGGGGTCTAAGAACCCATAGGGTTCAGAGGGGTCCAGCAAGACTGTGTCCAGACAATAAGATCAAGGGCAGCCTCCCTATACTAAAAGTACCAGCAAGATGTGGTGGATGAGAAAGAGGGTGCCTGTTGGACAAGATTGGCATGGTCAAGGAGCCCCAGGGGTATCACGGCCATCCCTGGGAACCCCATCCTGTGACATCCTCCAATACAACTCATGTGTTTTCTGAGATCATGCCAATGCAGACAGAAGCAAATATGCATTCTTACACTTTGGAAGCCTCAGACCCTGTTCAGACCTCTCTCAGCAGCACTATGGATGAGATCTTGGTGGTTGAGACAGATTTCCAAACTCCAGACAGTATGCCAAACAGAAACCCTTCTTCAAAAATGGAAAATCAGAACAACCATACCCCATCATGTCTTCATCCTGTGGTGAAAGGTATATTTTCTGAAATCAAACTTTTGAAACTCTGTGTGGGTGTAGGGTTAGGGATAGGGTGTGGGTGTGTGTTTTGGGGTGGTGGGTTTAATTTTGCTAAGTGTCTTTTAAAGCATGGGTATTTAGGGTTAGAATCAGGGTGTGTTTTGGGGTGATGGGCTTAATTTTGCTAAGGGTCTTTTAAAGCATTGATGGTTAGGGTTAGGGTGTCTGTTTATCTTGAAAGTGAATTGTTGATGCTGAGATGTCAATGTTATGTTTCCTAAGTGATCTCACGCAACACCTCCAAAGAGGGAGATGATGTTCCAGAAACACCAGAGGGGCAGGATTCAGTTTGAAGGCCTCTAACAGCACTTACTGAAAACCACAGAAACACTCACCCTGAGGATCAGAAACCATGTGGATCAGAACCCCACCCCAAATCAGAGCAGATGGGCATAGTAAAAATAAGAAAAGACCACATGGTTCCTCAGAGGAAAACACACCACCAAACCCTGAGAGAGCCATGTGTGAAAACACAAACATTCACAGTTCCAAAGCTGCTGTTTTGGGGTCTGAGAATAAGAAACACAAGACTGATTACTCTCACACTTTAGAGAAACCTGAGGTGGTTCTTCCTACGTATTTGAAAGATCATGATTATCATTCAAGCAAAAAGAGGAGACTTTGGGGTGTTGTTGGTACCCACAGGGCCTTGAAAGATCATTGTGCAAAAACAAAGAGGAGGTGTTAGGGGGTTGCTGGTACTCATAGGATCTTGAAAGATCATGATTATTATTAAAAAACAAAACAAAAAAAAACAGGTGTTGTACAATGGGGTGATGGTCTATACAGTCTGGACACTAGAACAGATGTTGTACGGGGGGGGTAGTGGTCTATATGGTCTGGACACTAGGCATGGTATGCATCATAAGAGCAGGGGCTCTAATAATCCTGAGAACAAGTGGCTTGCAGGGCGGAAGGTAAGGACCTGGTTAAAGATGAGAGTGGAAAAGTCTAAATGCCGATTGAGAAAGAATAAGATACCCCCCCTAGCATGGGGACCCCAAATACCCCAAACCTGTGGAGCCAGAGAGCCGGTCTAGTGAATGTGATTTCAAAGACCCTGTAGAGGGTCCCTCAAAATCTCACACACTCCCTGAGCCTGTGGAGTCAGAGTGCAGTGTTGGTGAAACTGAATTGGAAAACCCTCTAGAGAGCCCCTTGAAACCTTTCTTACCTCCTGAGTCTGTGGAATTGGATCATAGGGGTGACAAAAGTGATTTAGAAGACTCCTCAGAGGGTTCCTCAAATACAGCCCCTCTTGAACCTGCAGAGGATGTATGGGTGAGAAGGCGGGAGTGGCCTATAGCTAGGTTTGGAGCCCAGAGGTATATAGAGGAGTTTTGTTTTAGGAATCTGGAACTTGTGCCAGTACATGTAGCTTTTGAAGCCATAAGCAGGGATGTAGAACAAATTGTAGCAACTCTCTGTGAGTTATTCACGTCTGTTGATTATGTCCAGCTCCACCTTGAGGCAAATGATACGAGAAACTGCTTGTATTCTCTAGCTATTAATTTAAATGACATGTCCACTGACCTGTTTTTAGACTGGATCATGAAGCTGTTACAAAGTCAGAGAGAAATACTGTTTGATTCAAT